AAGAAAACTTTAGCAATACAATGATATTAAAATAATGAAAAAGTGAAACAGAAGAAGAATATTTCCATGAAGGTTTAAAAGTGCTTAGCATCTCAAAAATAACAAAAGGTGAATAAATATATATTCAGAGCTGTTGTGTACTCTACATTTGGCGATACCTCTGTCTAAAAGCATTGGAGATAACTTATCTTGTAAATCACAACCAATAAGTAGTCGTATGAAGTATAGCACCCATTGCAAAGGCATTTACAAACTAAAGTACAGTGCAGTGTTGCACAGCTGATGAAATAGGTAAGCGTTTCATCATTTATTTGCCCAGTTGCTTCAGTAAAAGCTTCTAAAGTATTCATGCTTTGGAATGAATACATACAAGTGAATATGACTTGTTAGATAAACAGGAATTATATTTTAAAAAGTAATTTAATAACTTATTATGGAATTGTTTAGCTTGCCAATCCTATATTACTCTATCTCGTTAATTTATGGGTCATCTGAAATTGTTACTTTGTTGTGATAGATAGAAACACAGCTTAATGGAGAGACTGAGACTAAAATGCTGTTCGAGATGCATGGTAAAACATTTTAGCATATGTACTGCGATAAAATTCGTGCGTTTTGTTGTAATAATTGCATTTTTTCATTAATGTTGCTCAGAAGGCATCTAATTCTTAGAGTTTTTGAAACTTTAGCAATTGGCATAATTCAAAGTATTCAACACACTAACTCTTACCATGTCCAGCGGCACTCGTTAACCTGTTAAACCAGTCTTCAAGCTTTCTATCCACATCAGTCATGGTTGAATAGCTTCAAGCATAATAAAATGAAACAATTAAAGAAACGAATAAATTGTTTGACAAAACAATCTGGAATTTTATTTTAATGCATTTGTATTGATAACACATTAATAGGATGTAGCTAAAATTGCCTAAATAAACGACCTGGTACGGCCGAGGGTACGTAGACTCCGGTCTTCCTATAGAAACGCTCTCATGTGGCCACGCGTTTATAGCTTCTCCCAGGTAAACCCTAACCACTGCCTTCACACGGCGGCGACGTTCCTCACTTTCACTCAACCCTAAACGTTCCTCGAAATGACCTTAAACAGTTTGCATATAAACAGGGCAGAAGTAATTCAGACGTTGTTACTGTCTTATATCATAATATTGTTTCCTGATCGGACAAAGGAGCCGAATATGTTCGATGAACCTTCCTGGACTAAACATCCACTTTTGACTCTGTACCCAGATGTTTTTTGTTATATAAGCTTTCCTTGACACAAACCGAGTTCTGGCTTGTTCACTGGTTGTATTATTTCTCTGACAGAATACACTACACTGCATATAAAGGCAAATCTTCCTCTGACTCGCCTACTGAAGTCGGTGTCCCTCAAGGTGCCATTCTCTCTTCTCTTTTTTTCTTTCTTCTTACATGAGTTGCTTTTTTCGGAAGAAACTAACTTTGTTAAATATGCTGATTGTCTCGTTGCCAGTTACGTCCCTATCTGACTCTTCCAAACTTTTTGTCGGACATAGGCCAGTGGTCTAAGCTATATCGTCTAACGTCAAGTCCCTCCAAATGTCAGACAGTTAACTTCACTTTCAGGCATAAACGTGATCTACAGGAATTGGTTCGTCCACATGATGCTTGTAGCACAGACGACACTGAAATCGTAAATAAGTCAAGCATTAAATACCTTGGAATAACTCTTCCCTCTGGCCTTTCTTGTTGATTTTTTAAGAAAATGGTCCGACTAACCTTCTGCATTAGGAAGTTAAAAAGATCAGATATCGCCCAACCCCTACTTTTACAGCTAGTTAACTGTTGCATGTTACTTGTTGTCCTTTATTGCTCCCACTCCTAGGCTACTTAAAAAAGACTGTCATCTTGCGAAGGTCATTAAAGATTGTCAATAGGGCACGTTTTGTACCAATTAAGTCAGCTTGTTAATATTGTAGTCGACAGACACTTGAACTTATGCGAGAAATAGGCTAAGTCTATATTGTCTGGCTATAAGCACCCTCTTTATTTACAACTCTCCTCTTGCATCTCATCATATAGGACTAAAAGTCATTATAAAAGATTATATGCTTACATGACTACGTTCAAAAACTCAGGGATACCCTATTTGGCGCGCGTTTTATGTGACAAAGTGTTAAGCGTGAAACTTATAACTATGTAATTAGCAAAATAATTGGCTCTTTAATCTTCTCCTATTTGCAATTTATGGTGATACTATTTTAACTGTCTTATCATTTTAGTTATCAATATTATTATTATTTTATACTTTTTCGACCTATTTGACTTTATTGTTACTGCTAATGTCAAAAGGTTGCTACCATCAATTTCGGTTACCTATACCCTGTAATGTTTTCTTTGTTGTTGAGTGAATTAGATGCAATACTGCACGTTATATCATTAGTAATGTTTTGGAATGAAGCAAATTATTATTATTATTATGTAGGACGAATACAAACCAGACTGGTGGACGTGCCGGTCTACCTACTTGAGTTGGAAAACTCTGATTTCAAACTTATGGTGTAAATGGACTCCAGAATCTGAAAGGATCGAATAGTATATGAATCTGTTTCGGTCACGGACAACCATAGGAACGTAGCTCCTGACACTGTCCTCCCGCCCCACCCCCCACTGCCTAGTGGATCAGACTCCAAGTCAAAGGTTGAAGAGTTGCCCTTCAGACAATCACCTACTTCAGTCTGAGCACAAACTATGAGGTCTTATTTGGTGCATCTTTTGGCGCCGATTTCGTGTTTTAATAAATAAATGATACAAACAGTCGAAATTGAAATCAACATTTTAAGTCACTCATGGACGCCGTAGATTTCGTATTTCAAAACCAGATTTATATCACCGTGAACAGAATAGCCTTATAAAACAACTGAGTGCTTCGTTTAATGAATCAGAATAAGTTATTTTATCATTGGTCTAGTACAATTTTATAGGTGATGAAAACTTGCTTAGTAGGTACGAGTTCCTTAAAACCATCTCATTTGAAACATTATTTGACTAGTTTACAATTTCTATGACCATCTGAAAAAACACACCAATCACAAACTGTTAAAACACCTACGAAGAACAATGAAAACAATTAAAATCGACCCGCATCCACTTCTTCCTTGTTGAAACTGAATCAAGTCACACTTATCAGTTACTCACAGTGTTGCCTTTTTCAGTAGTGGTACATTTGTCAATATAATAACACAGGCTGTGACAAACGTGATTCAAAACATCTCCGGTTTATCGAATACACCGGAAGCTTCAAGTCTAGTGGACAAGCCTATCCTTATTTGAATTAGGCAGACTTACTCTAGGTATAGAGGTAGGTCTAATTCTCTACTCGTAGATTCGCCCATTTGTGCTCGATAATCGACACCAGCATCCAGATTGATAACATCACATTTTTCCTAGAAAAAAAAACAAACAGAGAAAACAAGTTCGTAAGTGCAGAATGTCCGATAGATTCAGAGGAGAAATTAGTGTAACAGACCAGTAATTTAAGCTGTATTCAGTTATTATATTATTTATATTATTATTTCCTTTAATTCCTTGAGGAACATAGGGCTACAGCTGCACGTCTCCATTGTGTTCGGTTCTCTGCTAAAGTTTTCACCTGGCTCCAGGTTTGCCCACATGCTTTCATCTCCTCTTCACATGACCTCCTCCAAGTCACCCTTGGACGATCAACCAGCAGCTTCCTGTTCGGGTTCCACTTGAGGGTTTGTCTAGTGATGTCACTCAATTGAAAAAACACAAATAGATTGAGAAGCCAAGCTATTTTCAACTAATCTAAAAGGGCATTTGTAAAAAGGGATTGGGCATGTGAGATATTGACCTGAGTTGGTTACATTTAACCTAGTCTTCAACTAACTAATTTCTATCACCTCAAGTACTATGCAAACAAGAAGATAATCACGCCTTGAACTACTTACAGCTTATTGAGAAAATGCTTGCCAAACTTAGAAAATTAATTAATATCACCATCTATGATAATATACGGCGTATACTGCGCAAAACGCAGAATAGTCTTCGGCTCATTGAAAGGAAGCAAAATAGATCGACGAAATGTCTAAAAAGTACTTTTATAAATAAAAGATCTAAATCCAGAATAGACATTTTCTCCAAGAATAGTTCACAATCCGTATCTATGATGATATCGAAGTCAATAAATCTTGTTTAACCAGACTTTTTGGTGAAACAAACTGCATAATAGTAGGATCGTTTAGATTTAGATACTATGTTAGATAAGTTAATCTGACGTAATACTCAGTGAAACAACATAATCATGAGCACAATGTTTTTTTTTCTGTTAAACATCTTTACATACAGTAAGTTATTTGATAAAAAAGGAAGCAATAAATTCAAAGATTATGTATTTTTAAAGTGCATGAAGAGCTTCCTCGAAAACCAGCTGTTCATTGATCTTTTTTTCCAAACATTGTGTACTATATCAGCTGTCAGTACTTGAATAAGTATTGTCACAAAAAAGATTCAGTTGATACAATGTTTACAATGACTAAAGATAAAACAAAGTGTTTATCGTATACACAAGGAGGGGATGATGAAGCAAAAACTGCACAGTAAGTATTTAAAATCCAGAGACAACAGGTTTTCAGATGATAGGCAGTTTAAAAAACACACAATACAACATAACAAGAAATAATTGTCTATTGAATAAGGACAAAGTTAAAATATCCCAGCCAAAATCGTAGTGACCTTAAATGACCAATCAGAATTCAGATGCAAAATAGTTCGAAAATGTACTTGAAAATCGAAAACATGATATTACACTAGATAATTGCCGCTTATGTGTTGTAAGAATTTCCCCCAGTCACTACATGGATAATCAATAGAGAAATCATAGCATGCGCGATAGATGTATTCATCCAGATGACTGTAGATCAAGGTACTTTGAGATCCACCGATATTTCTGACACTGTTCTTTAACCTACCCCTAACTCTAACTATAATGCTAATCCTGACTTTAAGTCTAATGCTAACCTTAACCTAAACTTAGAAAACATAACGCTAACTAAGAGTGTAGATTTACAGAAGTGCCAAGGGAATAAGTAGAATACTGTATCTACCCTCCCCAAATCCCAAAAAGGTAGGCATGATTTGATTTGAAATGACCTTTTATTGTGCTCCCTAAATCTAACTGGTTTCCGAACGTCAGCTTTGACAGACCTGGGCTTTGGCTATGATAGCCTAGCTTCAATAAATAAGTTAAAATTAATCATTGAAATTTATAACTGTGTTATATCACTTCATTTCCACACAAAGTCCGGATTAACTTTGTTTATATCACTGATATTAAAATGTGACAAATATAATAGTTATAGAATGCACTGTTAGCAAAGAGTATGACGGTAAGAAAGACATAATATTAAGCGAGAGGTGAGTAGAACTTTTTAAAGGAAAGAAACAAGGTTTGAACAAAATGTCACGAATTCTCTGTTTCAGTTAGTTTAAGGAACGTTCTCTAAATCAGGAGCTCAACTAGTTAATAGTTACATAGTTAATAAGTATCGTTATACCACTGAAACCATTCAAATGATCACGTACAACAGAGATTCCTAATGTTTATGAATAATTTAATTTCATAGCACAACCAACCAAACACCACATGACTGTGTGGTTAAGTCATAAGGTGTACTTTATAATACTTAACTGCTAAAGCATGAAATAACATGATGATTTACAGAATGGGATTCAAGCAAAGAATAAAATAAACATAAATTAAAGTGTGAAGATGAAATTTGATTTTAGTGTAGAAAATTTATTGTAGAATTTATTGGGAAGCTGACTTGAAAAATAAACTATATTCAGTGGTATATAATACTATCGACGTGTTATACTAATATTTTCAAACTACACAGTTCCTCAGTAGTTGATTCCGCCTTCGAAAGGATGATGAATAAGAATAACAGTAAGTCGAACAAAGTAGTCACTAGCATGATCTCGCATTTATTGACTCTCGTTATTCACGTGTTGAATTTCTCGAGATCTGATCAGCCCCAAAGTGCATTCAGTCACGAAGTGATATGTCTGCGAAGAACCTTTGGAAAGCAAAGAGCACCAACAAAGGACACCTATTCTTTCCTAATTTAGATGTTTTCAGCAGTCCTTCCAATCGCACTGAAAGGCAACGGATCCTTGACTATGAGAAGAGTGTGTAACTATCTAATCACTAGGTCTTTATTGGCAACCTGCTTAAATCACTGGGTTACCTGAATTCCAGTCTAATATAATGAGTCAAATTTTCACCACACATTATTGTTTTAGCTCCTCAATTATGTCTCTGGGTCGCAAGATGTACTAATGAATATTTTTGATTGTCTTTCATCCTACTGTTTTGCATTTACTGAAGGAAAAATATCATAAGGGATCTAACAGTATTGCTGACTGCTGTTTTAACTGAAAATCATGGAAGAAGAGACAATATCATGTAATATAATACGTTAGAAATTCTGTGCAGTGTGTAAACATTTTGCCAGAATAAAGCTGCTTTATCATTAAAAAGTGTAATGCCAAATGATTATAAAATGTCGCCACTGCTATCCAATAACATTGCTAGGAAACATACAATTAGGTGGAACTACCTGGCCATGGTTTGTCACCGGCAAATTAGTGATACATTCTGAAATTAGTCGCTGATTTGTGAGGATTTACCTTTGCTCCAAACAAATGCAACTCAGCTTATTCACCAAACTAGTTTTCGTTTCTATAACTTAATATTTTTTTCCTTGCGTTCTGAGTGGCATACAGGGGTCCTGACAGCAAATTTCCATCGCACTCCAATACCATCACTTTTAACTTGCCATAGCCTGGAATTTCCTGTTAACATTTAGCCCATCAATTCCAACGGGTCTTGCTTGAAGGTCTCATCAGCGTAGGCCCAACCCATACTCATTTCCTCCACCATATTTGTCGGCCGAATAACAGGCTGTTCTCCAGAGCTTCTTGTTGAATATCCCTGCAGGGCGACCATCTCATTCTCATTTTCACCCAAAAGAAGCTGTTGAAAATGTTTCTGACATCATATCCATCAGGTCTATGGATCATATAAAAGGACTCATTACATATTAGAGCTGAAAATTCAAGTCTTGTTATTTTGCCAAGTGCTCCAGATCTCCACACTGACTTCGCAGTAATGAATGCCTGCACTGCTTTCCCGATCCGATTCGATCCTGACTTGCTTTCAATATATGGTTGCGGTACTGCACTTCATAGTGTTGGAGTGATTTCCAAATTACTTCGCGGTCGACTTTATCGAAGGTCTCTTCGTGGCCAATGAATTTCAAGCATAGATTTGATTACCATTCTAGGCCGTTTTCATTGATGATGCGTAAAGTCACCATTTGACTTGATTTTCATCAATCTAGCCTGTTCCTTCCTGGGGAAGTTTTGCAACCACCTCATCTTTGAGTCTTTATAGGATGATATGGCTTCATACCTTACATACAGTGGGCAGCAGCATGATTCTACAACCGTCCTAGCATCTACTTAATTTGGTGTTCTTTGAAATTTTGACAACATAGTCCTTCTTCCAATCGTCAAGTAGCTTTACTTTCCGCTATACCTTCTGAAGTAGTGGCAGTTCCGTGAGTGCTAGTGGCACTTCTGGGCGTGTTATAAGCAGTAGTTGATTCCAGAGTGATCTGAAGTGATCAACCCAGGGTTACCCCTGTTTCACCCTCCATAACAATTGCTTTTCTTTCACCATCTGTCAAGAACCCGATCTGCGTTGGTATATATTCCCAAGCACAAACTTGGTAATTCCATACAGTTTTCTGAAGTCTTTTCCAAAATAGTCCTTTTTGCTTCAAATACCAGTGTGTCCTAAAATCTTCTCTCTTTCCAAAAACTCTACCTCACTCTTTTCTTCAGCATTTTGGATACAATGGTTAGTTCCTGCTTTCGTCTGTCACCTCTGCACTGGTTCATCTTCTGACTCACCATTATTCTTTTCTGGCAATTTCCAGAGGTCTGTAGTGAGCCGTTCTTTCTCCTACCTCTTACTGACTAAAATATAAGTGCAGGTTTGCTTTCTGGTCGCTTTCACAAAGTTCCAGTGTCCTTCTATGCAGGTTTTCTCATTGATGGTGCTTAATACACCTGATGTTTTCCTGACGACTGCAATGAAGGCATCTTCGCCTTTCAGTTTGAGTGTTGAACTTCAATTGTGGTATATATCCAGCTTCTATGAAAGCTTTCAACTTGATCTTGCATTAGACCGTGATTCGAACCTACATCTGCTCTTAATCTTCATCTTGTATCCAGTAAATGGCGTCTTCACTTCCTTCAAGTCGGAATGAAGTCTATCCGACTTTTGGTGTATCCCTACGGTGAAATCCACGTAGCCTTATAGATATCCTTGTTTTTATATTCTGCCTCTAATCCCCAGAAGTATGCAAAGAGTTCTCCATTCTCATTCATTCACAGAGCATTCAATCACCACTCGGTCCACGAGGAGTTCTCTTATTTTTTCTGCTCTTAGCCTGGGATTCATATCAATCATTTGAATTTCGATATCACCATCTACTACTGCACGTAGTATTCTACAGTAGTCCTTATTTTCTTGGTTGGCGTTGTTTGTGGATGTGTAGCTGTGAATAATTTTAACTCCTTTCCTTCCTTTTGAGTTGAATCTCGTCATCATGAATCTCAAGGAGATTAGTTCTCACTAAAATTCTTCAGGAGATCTATCAGTATGAAATTTTCTTTTACTTCTCCGAAAATACTTATTACTCCGCAAAACGACTTCTAGTTGCCTTAATTCAGGCACCTTATTGAAAATACGAAAAACTATTCTGCATTTAAACGTAGACAGCATACTTGGTGAAATACTTTCTAGATGTATTCTCTCGATGAGATTTACAAAAAAAACTTACCGATTAACAGGACCATATATTAACATTATATCGAGAAATACTATTAGCCAGCATATGCAACTATGCTGTATGTGCTGTGTCGATACCTTAATCCATAAGAAGATTTAACGATTGATGGGTGTTGCACACAAAAAAGACTTTACAACTCAACATCCTAGTGATATTTGAAATGGCATTCACTAGGGATAATATTTGTATCAAAATAGAAACAGAATTAGCTGAATCCCAAGCGAAAACAATGTCTATGTTTGTTTTTCTGCCAACAGCCATCAAGTAAATAAAACTGGAATAAGAATTAAAAACAGCATTTATAGTATTTTTACTCTGTCTAATAACACCAACGACGAGAAATTAGAAGTATGCACAAATGAAGGCATAGTCAAGTGAAAGACGTGTACAAGGAGAGAAAAAAACAAGAACAAGAATAACAATTACCAGTCATCATCATCAGATGCAACCACTGGAGACAAATAAAAGAATATAAGAATTTTCAGTTTATTCACTAAAAAAAAAAATAAATAAATTACCTTAAGAAGTCCAATGAAAGGTATGAAATTTACACGTTGCAATCCATTTTTGTATAAATCTGAAATGCATACACAACTGTAAGATAAAATATGTTCAAGAAATACACACGAAAGCATTAGACGATAATAGATAGAGAGATTTTATCAACATAAAACCTTGAATTACTACTACACAGAGATTTACACGGCTAAAACTGACATTTGAACATATAGTAGAGAATAGCATAACAGGAGATAAAGCAATCGAAAAGTTATTCCTTCAAATTTTGTTAAATTTAGTTATATTCTAGACTACAGTCACTCCGTATTCTTTTTAGAAGCATGGTTGTTAACCCGGTGAGGAATTCTGCATTTCGAGTGACAATTATACTTACTCGCTATTCTCATAGTCAATGCTCATGCGTAATTTATGAAGAGATGTTTCCAAGCACTGTATCTAACACAGCATTAGGTTTTGTTACAATGACAGGGACGACTAAGGTAACGCATTCCAGCCAACGATTATGATGAATAACAAAACGTAAAATGGATATAAGATGTAATACAACATGGTCAAAGCACATATATGTGGTCCATACATGACGACCGTTCTGCATACATCCAACCGAGTGGAAACTAACCGCATTGTAATCTATTTGGTTGCAAACATGAGTAGAAAACTGAAGACAAAGCAGCATCTCTATAATGGCTGCACCCGTAATTAGTGAAAACTAAGTGAGTTGCGATGTGTGCAGATGTTGTTCATTATCTGGTCTACGACTAATTAGCCTTTGGAGAAGACAAAAGCAGTTGTAACTATTCCATAGCTTTCTCGATGTTTTTTCAATATTAGAAAAGAGTAAATTGAAGTTATGCTACTATGTCCAAACTTCTCCATCATTCTGTTATACTGGAACTCTTCGTCCCTTATTTTACCATTCCGAAAACCGACGAATGAGTATTTGTGTACTGTGAAAGTTGACCACAAAAAATTAAGGGGAATACATATGATCAGCACTAATGAAATCTAAACACCAAGTATTCCTAGGTGAAGCACTGATGAGCATAACTCTTAGTGGATGTTTAAGTCACTTAACAACATAAATAAGTTGTTGAAACCGGCTGCTGTTGATACTACTACAACTGTTTGAAAGTTGAATCGCCTAAGCTGATGATACCAGACTATAGGAACAAATAAATATCCCTTTATAAGTTAACTGGTGGATGCTGAGTAGCAGTGGAATCCAGGATGCGCATTTCGTCCTATTTGGGGCTCGTCATATGAATGTACCCGCATTCTGCAGTGAGTGATGATATTCCCACCGAGGCTTGAACCTGAGATCGAGAACTTCGGTCTAATCAATCAACCGGAAAATCTCAAATTGAATTAAATATCCTTTCACTTGTTGAATAGCTTCAATACGCTTGCTATACAGTTTTCATAGTTCTTGTATATCTTAAATACTACCAATAATAGTGACATTTTTTTTTCATTAAACATAGAAATTTGAAGACAACAGTAAATACAATGAAAGTGATGTAAACTGACCATCTGGAGGACGATTTGATGTAACAACGACAACAGCACCAAAACTGAAGAGATTTTCAAACAGTCGCTTCAATATCATTGCATCTGCAATATCTGTAACCTAATTAAATTAAGTAATGCATAAACAAAACAGAATACAACTAAGAAATCTTTGTTTCAGGATATTTGTGACTAAAAAGCACCACCAGCGAATTGACAAACTTGCAAAATTAGGTGGGTAGCAGTTGCCATATCAGGCGTATTTTAACCGAAATTATTGTTAATATTGATCTGAATCTCAAACTGGTTCCCGAAGTCTGTTCAAGAAAATCCGGAGGTTTTAGCTCCATTTTCATGTGATACGAAATGACAGGTTGTTGCTAAAGATAGGAATGACTCTATTTTCTTATTTAAACCCAATCTTTTCAAATAATCCCCACTATATTTGGATAACATATTTAGTATATAAATCTGGTTGCTATATATTTTTGCCATTCACACATAGTTTAGCCTATTCGGTCTCAAATTTCAACAATTTTCAACTTTACATGTGCGGTAATTACAGAAGATCGGATAAAAACTGTTTTCCCTGACTCTCAATATTTCCAAGCATGAGGTAACACTCTGCTTGTATAAATACAACATCCAAGTGTAGTCATTCGTTTCATCTAAACTAGTAATGCTGTAAGTTCATAACGGCTACAGAAAGATGTTCAGAAATACTATTTGAATCAATACTGAAAAGTGCATTCTTTGGTTGCGTGTAGTCTTTTCAACAGGACTGTGCATAAACACCAATCATTGTCGACTTACAGTTTCCACTTATGCAACGAAAGACGTTAATTCTCCGTACTTAAAGAAATACGTGGTGTTTTCAAAAATCGGTTATACAAGCAGGCAAAGTGAGCTATAGAATGTAGATATCCTGTAATAAAATCACTGATTACCCATTGACGACCTAACTGGGAGATGTTACAGTGCTTCAATGATGTTTGTCTTACTAAACTACAACTCCTTACGGTACCAAAAAGAATAAAAGGCCTAAGACTTAGAGAAAATAATTGGAAAACCGAGAACCGGTAGAAACATCATTTTACTTTTACGAACTAACCTGAAATTCATCAAAACACAACAATTTGTGTTTGTCAATTATACTTTTTGCTACTGGCGGGATGGGGTCAAAAGACTTTTTATTCTTTGGAGCAGTCGAACGAAAATCATGTATTCCTTTAGGAAATCAATTGAAGAAAAAAAGAAATATGCAGCGAGTTGGTAACATTTAACGTAGATGATACATTATTCATGAACCTAATTAGGATTTCCTTAGTGATACCGAAAAATTCCAGAATTGATAATGAGCACAGGGAGTGACGATAAAAACTGGTGCCAATCATACCTGTCTAGTCAAAGATGCTGTGAGCCAATCGGCCACACTAAGTACGAAAAAATGTAGATCAACAGCTACACTGATTACATTTATATTTATTTTTTTATATTTTGATTAAAGCTTGATGCCACACCGTATTTTCAGTACAAGTATGGAATTTTCAGCATGGATATCGGTAGCCCAGATTTTGCAGGCCGACCATAGATATCGGGTGTGCGTCGGCAGGGGATCGAACCCCGGACCATGTGCATGGTTGGTGAGAGTCCTAACCACTGTGCCACCGACAGTGGCAGGGATTAAAATAAATATTGGACTGAGTACTTTCAAACCTTTCATATTTTGGTTTGATCCTAACAATTTGTAGGCGTTGGTAAGTGATTTAGCTAGACTTCGTTAGCATTGTTAATCTTCCTGTAATGGTCCACAAATTACTATATGGAGTGACAAACAATATTATTTTTACTTACACTAGTGAATAGATTATTTTAAACAGGTATTTTCGAATTAGTTTTATAATTCTGCAGATTGAGGTCTAATACAAACATGGAACGATAGAACACGTACTCTCTTGGCCATTATTGTCAGTGGACTTTTGAAGCGAGATAGATGAAGGAAGAAACTTTGGGACGAAGATTCTAGCTGATAAATGCCTAGCACTTACATGACTTCATATAATTTTCCTTTGTCCAGTTTGAATCAAGACATGAATAACAAACTAAGCAGGATAATATAATATTTTATTTATTCTTTTCTTGTATATTAAGTGCACATAGTCCAGAACAATTTTGATATTGAAATTACTGTTCTTGTTTTGGTCACATACATAACTGTTTGAATAACATTCTAACGCGTTCAATAATGGGTTATTTGTTATACATATTAAGATTATAAAGTAGAATGCCGACATATAGGAAGCAATAAAATTTAATTACCACTACCGAATAACTTGTGTGCAACAGAATAAAAGTGGTCACGTGAAGGTTTGCTGACAGTAATAAACTGCATTTATTGTCTGAAGGCTATTAACACTACCTAGTCACTCGAATCCGAGTGAAGTTTCACAATATTCCCAAGTAAAATGTAAGTGCGATGAAAGTAGGTTCGTGTCACATATGCTAAGGGATCTGACTTGGTAAAGAAACAACCACATGAAGTTTAAAATTTTCATCTTCGCCCTGACCCATTAACAATACTTCGACAACCTCATCAGAAAATCAATCAAGGGAAATTTGTTATTTTAAGCACTTGATTAGCAAGGAATCTATCATGTCGTGCTAGAAGCACAGTGCAGCTTGCAAATAAGGTGGTAAGTCAGTCAGAAAACTCAGGGATACAGGTTCCAGAGGCCATATTATTATTGTTCCCTTGGGTTCCTAGTGGAACAAAGGGCTTCAACTGCACGTCTCCACTTGCTTCTGTCTTCTGCTATACTTTTCACCTGCATCCATGTTATTCCATACTGTTTCAACTCCTCTTCACACGATCGCCGCCATGTCACCCTTGGACGTCCCACTCGCCGCTTCCCTTTCGGGTTCCGCTCGAGGGCCTGACGCGTAATGTCACCCAGCGGCCTCCTCAGCGAATATCCAATCCATCTCCACTTTCTCCGGCATATTTGTTGGGCGATTGGTTCTTGTTTTGTTTGTTCCCATAGTTTCTTGTTGGTGATTCTTTCCGGCCATCTAATCTTCAGTATAGAGCTAAGACAGCTGTTGATAAAGGTCTGCAACCTGTTGGAAATATTCTTTGTGACCCGCCAAGTTTCTGATCCGCATAGAAGAACTGACTGACTTGACGTTTGTATTGAAAATCCGAATTTTGTTGCTGATGCTGAGTGACGAAGACTTCCAGATTGGTTTCAGGTTGGTGAATATGTTTCTTGCCTTCCCGAATCTCGATTTGACATCCTCGTCCGTTCCTCCTGTAGTTGAGACAATGCTCCCTAGACAAGTGAATGAAGTAACCTCTTTCGAATCCCTCCCGTTGAAGGTGATTGGCGCTGGATGTTGCTGCTGTTGTTGGTTGGTTATTTTCATAACCTCCGTCTTGTCTATGTTCACCTGGAGTCCTGTCTTTGGTGCTTCTTCGACCAGCTTCTCGGTTTTCTCTTGTAAGTCTTCGATTTTGTGTGACATCAAACATAAATCATCTGCGAAATCCAGGTCTTCTAGATTCCCAGAGGTCATAAGTAATATATGAATACAAATATAAAGTTAAGGATGACTCTTAAAGAATACTTTTAACACATTATAAAGGTAATATGTGAAATCCACTAATTTTGAAGTTAGCGGGTATAACTAATAATGTGGCATTTTGCGGCTTAAAGTGAGCGACTGTCATGCATTTATAGTTAGTTAGACAGACTATAAATAAGACAAAACAGAAAATAATGGAAACGATTTAAGTGATCGTTAATCCGACAACCACTTTATTATGAATCAATCTAAAATACCAAACCGATAGCTGCTTCCTTGACGCGGTGATCGGGCTTGAACATCGCAATGACACAACAAGCTACACCAGCTGCAACTATTGTTCCTGAAGGTCATACAATGCCACGAAGGTTGTCAGGATAGCAGTTAGACTAACGGCAGTTACCAGAATAGTATAAGTATTTTTTATACTATGCTGAGGGTCTGTGGGTGAAGTCGTACTGCTGAGGAACAGGGATGTGACAACACTAAGGTGTTTCCCTCAGATGACCAGCATGCCAGCCACCTATGGTGTCTCTCCACTCTGGTGAGATAGCGTCAGAAAAGCTCAACCCCAACAATTGTACATCCCAACTCACCCTACGGTGCTCCGTAATCGGCGGCAAGTTTACTAATACGCAACCAATCCAAGAAAACAATTCACACAGACCGTGTGTGACCTGCCTAAAGCAGTTCTTTCTTCTGGGCTCTGAGGTCACGCAACACTAACTCTCTTTCTGTTTCAGGTACCCCAAGAATCAATCAACTTCCACGATGTGGGCAGCCGGGAAGTAAACACTGCCCACTCACTTCCAATAGCACACGAAGCCTTCCTGAGCATCATTCCCCTCTACGCACATCACCTTCCTCATCTTACTTCCCTACTAGTTAGTACTATTCTGCAGGCTAGTGAGTCATCTTCGCTTCACTATGTGACCACAAACAACGATGACAGCTATAGAAACACCCCCGACATCTTAAAGCCACGCCGCCAACTTCATAAAGGAGCATTCAACTTCAGAACCCTCTGCCAAATCGGACAACAGGCATCACTGGCAAGAACTTTGGCATCTCGAACCATGGATGTATGTTGCGTATCGGAGACATGCATACAAGACCCAAGTGTGGACATTCACTTAACCCCACCCGACCAACAAGGTGAATTTGCGAAATTCACTTTAGGGGGTCAGAAGACCCCTTCAGGTAGCTCATGAGGACTCGCAGGTGTAGTGATAGCATTGAGTGTTAGGGCAGAAAAATCACTTCATGACTGGATCCCAGTAGATAGTCGTATGTGTTCGGTCCGTCTGAACGGGTCCGTAAGAACGAGGAAAAACAGCGTTACCCGTTGTTGGCCTTTCGTAGTCTCCGCTTACACCCCAACCGACCGCAGTTCAGATGAACTAAAGGATAACTTCTACCAGAAACTGTCTGATTTGCTGCAAAAAGCAAAACGCTAAGATATAGTTGTTTTAGCAGGCAACTTCAAAGCCCAAGTAGAGATGTTACGGCAGATCGAGAAGTATGCAGTTGGTGCATACAGAGACCCTGCCGACGAACCGCCAACTGTGTTCATCATCTAAAGTTCTGTTCAGCGCTGAATTTACGCGCAATGACAGACACTGCCTAACCTGGTGACCTCCATAACCAAATCAACGCTGTAATCAGACAGAGCACATAGCGATTCCGATGAGCTCCGATTATGATGAGAAGCGAAAGCTACTCAAACACCAACTAACAAAAAGCCTCCAAAACGACTTTGAACAGTGGTAAGCGACAAAAGCGAAAGAGGTAGGAAACGCATTGGCGACTGATAACACCAGACAACTATTTAGGCTTATCAGGGAAACAGGTGGTAAAAGGCAAATGATAAGTGAAACAATCTATGAAAAAAATGGCACCATAATTAGCTCCCTGGATTGACAACTAGAACGCTAAAAAGAACACTTTGAGGATCAATTTAATTGCCTACGTTCAACTTACCTAGCATCCAACACCTCCCTGAATGGGATTTAGACACAGGTCCTCCGTCCCTACCTGATGTTACAAAAGCTGTCTCTTACTTGAAACAAAGCAAAGCTGCGCGACCTGATGAAATCACACTAGAGGTCTTTGAGTGTGGTAGAGACATTTTACTGTCTGCGTTAACTAAGGCACTACGCAGCGTCTGGAAATCAGAGGAAGTCCTGTCGGGTTGGTGTAAGTCATTGATTATCCCGATATAGAAGTCTTCCTGTGATAATCACAGAGGGATTGGCTTCACCTATATTGTATCAAAAGTTCTAGGCTAAATCATCATGCATGGACTAAGTGGTGGTCGGGAGAAACAAACACGGCAGAACCACACAGGCTTTAGACCATGAGGAGAGTGTATTGACCATATCTTCACCCTTCGAAAATTCCGGAACATAGGCATACTTACTGGTGTCCAACAATCGTCATATTTCTTGACCAAAAGACGGAATTCGATTCCGTCGATCGAGAAGATGTTTGGCTGTTAAAAAGTGTCGAGAAAATACATTGCAATGATCAAGGCATTCTACCCGAACTCTTGCAGCCAGCCAGGCGACAGCTTACGGCAAGTTGTCATCTCAAGTGGTGACAAGCGGTGGTTCCTTTAGGGATGTCAGCCCAGAGAAACAATTTCTGTTTAATGTACTAAAGGACTGACCCGAAATGATTTTAGCGACTCAGGGATTGACTTGTTATCACGGAATAGTCTTGTTGACTAACGATAAGCAGATGATATAGTCCGGCTCCTAGGTGAAGACGCTGACAAAATGCAGTGTTCTGAACATCTTCAGCTGAGCAGAAATCTTCGACTTTCGCAGGCACACGATTCGCTCCTGCTGTCAAATGTAAGATGATGCTACAGAACTGGACTACATCGATTCATTTCTAGCTTAGAGATAACAACTGAAGTGGTGGTTGAACGTGTTGACCACTTCACTGATTTGGGAAGTTGCATTAGCCCAGCCAGACTCAGTGGGATGATGGCTGACGAAATCTCAACTCGAATACAGAAGGCTAAGTTAGCATATGCCCGCCAACTAACACCATCTGCGGAGTAGACGTGATATCCAGCTGACTATCGACCAAACGCATTCGCTCTGTCTTCTCTTATGGCTGTGAGCGAGACATAACCATTGAAAGTGGAAGAAATGAAAAGCCTGGCTAGCTGTTTTTGATCAAAGGTGTCTGCGTTCTATCTCCCACGTGAAGTGGTATAATAGGGTGAGCAATTTGAGGTTAGGTATCGGTCGACTGCTAGGTAAGGAGCGGAAATCAATAGACGAGGCTGTGAAGTTACATCGACTGAGATGGTTAGCACATGAGTTACGCATGCCTAGCCATCATCTTCCTCCACCGACGAGCAATCTTCACTGACATAGGATGGATCAGGTTGGAAAAGAGCCAACACATGGCATCAATCAATGAAATTCACAGCAGTTAGTTTTAGCCATTCTTATATGGAGGTGTAGACTTCCTGGTTGGCGTCCTCGGGACGGTCAAAGCCAACGACGTCTGGAGACAATTGGTGATATGGCTCAAAATCTTTCTCAATGGCGGAGATGCATCCACTCTTTGTGACATTATACCTAATAAAGCTATATGGTTGTTGGATTTTATTATTCTTTTTATATCATATCTCTGTTTACTGTCCATATTTTGCATTTAATTTTACTTTCTTATCTTGCTTTGTGTGCAGCATGGAGTGTGGTAAGTCAAACTGCTGCACATCGGTGCAAAGTTCTGTGTTGCAACCAGTCAGTCAGTCAATCTAAAATATCCAGCATTATGTGACGAAAGGAGCGACACTTGTTGAAAGAGAGGACATGATATAAACCTTCAGAAATGAAGTAGTGCGTGACCATCACACTTTTCATATGTTCTGAAAGACTGGCTGACAAAACAAGGCAAAAAAACAATTAACCTGACTGAATGAACTGTTCAATCATATGTGATATAGAAGGCAAGTAGGGAGGATAAAATGACAGCCATGTTTAAAGGCAAAAATCAAACGTTTAAGCTGCTGATCTATGAAGGCATGTAGCTTTAGCATCTATATAGTTAAGAAAGAAACCAATGATATTTGTGATATTAAATTAGAAACTTACTTCCATGAACTTCAAACATGAAGGAGTGGAAGTGAGTTCTCCATTTACATTCAAAATAACAGCATTCATAAAACATATCCATTAACATTGTTTTGCCACAGCCTTTATATAGTTTTCACTTTTTATTATGAACTAACCGACAGGGCCGTATAAGTAAATACCCTTAGGAATCTTTTTGTCTTGAAAAATCTACTGTATTTTATTAGGAAAGCAAAGGAAAACCAACGGATAAGATGCGCGTCTTTCTGTGAAACCCATTTAATTCTTTACAGAGATCATCCAGCCGCTTCACGACGGATAACTGAAAATCATTTGATTTAAGTTTATTTTCCTTGACTAGATTAGCATATATGTCAGAAGGAATTTTTCCACCAGTATTTCTTCTCAAAGGAAACAAATAGTACTTTTGAATAATATAAAAGGGCCTGACTCCAGAACCTCCAATGAACATTGCGAAAGTACTAAAAATAATTAACACCGCCACCAACACTAACCTTCACATTGTGTTCGTCCTAATGACCTTGCTCAGTGACCTTCCCTTAGTGTAAAATAACAAATGTAACTTCAAACTTGTTTATCTTGACCACACTGTTAACGAAATATAATCTAATTGCCTTATGAATCAATGCATGGATTTTTCAATTCTCTCCTATATTGTAATAATTCAGGTAAATACGTTCCAGATATATGTAATTAGGTTATCCTAACTTCAACAACTTCAATAATGTGATCCAGGAGTTCGGCGAATGTGAATGCTTTGATTATATTTTTATCCGCTGCAGATTTTACCGGTGGTTTGTTAAATACAATTTGGATGATAATGGGAAGGATCCTGTAGATTCCATTACAATAGTATTGCCGAACGAGCAGTTGCAGAGAGCAAGAAGACGAAGCATTAACAAAGCGAGTATATACTTCCAGCGTGTCGAAAATGTTGCTCGAAACAAAATCATGCAATGCTGGAGTTCGATGAATGGAACGTTTGTAAGAATTTAACGAATAACCAATAGAAGTATCTATATCTAACCAGTGAATACTGACAGAATTTGGTGCAGATGTGAGTTGTGAGAATCCACTCGGCGAGCTTTAAACGTCCAAAATACTACTGATCGCTGGTTTTGAGTCAAGTGACTACTGGCAAACAGCATGTGGTGGGTCATCACTCAATAGGCTTTTTAGCGAATCAGAGATGCTTCGTCGTAAGCAGCCTGAAATTGGCAAGTTCGTTACATCAGTTCCGAAAGCTGAACCCAGCTGACTTAATCATCCAATATCCAATATTGTTTTTACGAGCTAGTATAAACCAATTTGATTTCTTTGTGCTCACCTCTTGATTGTGAGGTAGAGGTTCCTGATCTTCGGTAAACGTCTGCGTAGCTCGTCCCGCCACTCTACTGTCGTAGCTTTGGTTGACTCCAAAAGGAGTAGTGCAGGGATTTATTATATATGGTTTGTAGAATGAGGTGTGTTAAGACTGTTACTACTGTGAATGGAGTTGATCCTTTAACCAGTTGATCCTTCGGTATCATCGTCAATAGAAAAGAGATAATAATAATAATAGATATAATTAGTGAAGGTATTCAGACTAACAGACAGAAAAAAAATAAGAAAACGTAACAACAGTCAGTCAACCGGTATATATATATACCAGTAATAATGATAATAATAATAATAATAGGTGTAGTTAAAGCTGTCAGGAGAGTAAGACGGAAGAGAATGTAAAGAAGTAAAACGACCAGTTTAATTGTCTACCTTTGAATGGTGTATGCGATTTTAAGGGGATAGGCCATTTGGATGAAGTCCTTGTGTCGCTGCATGGTTGTCCAGCCTTCGCTTAAAGGCGTCCACAGATAGTGCCATAGCTACATCTGCCGGTAAGGAATTCCAGGGACGGCAAACCCGCAGGGAAAAGAAGTGGGAGCGCACCCGGGTCCTTGCCCTCTGATGAGCTATCCTTCTAGGATTTCCACGAGGGAGCCTATACCTACTCAATGGCAGAACACCTTTGTTTGGGTGATTCTGATCATTTGTTATTTTGTAGGCAGTAATTAAATCCCCCCCTAAGACGACGGTAGCTAAGTGTGAATAGGCCAAAATTTCTCCAACCTTTCATCATATGGTTTATTTCGGAGACCAACCACTCCTTTTGTTGCCCGTCGTTGGACTCTTTCCAAGAGGTTGGCGTCTCTTCTAAGCAGTGGGGGTGCAATAATATTATACACTTCAAGTTGCGGTCTGACATATGTTTTAAACAACCTTAGAAAGAGCTCAGGAGTGAGTGCACCTAATTGTCTATGTGTAAAGTGTATGACCGCATATGCCCTCTCTACGTCCCCCATGTAATTTACGCTTGTGTCCATTTTTCCGTTAGAACTAGACCTAAGTCGCGTTCCAACGTTGTGCAGGACAAGCTTCCATTGCACAGGGTGTAACTTGCACTCCGCAGTCTACAGGTGCGTAACTTCACCACTTTGCACTTTTTTAGGTTGAAAGTCATGCCACTGGCCACCGCCCAGTCTTCCAGAAGGTTTAGATCTTCCTGCAGCCTCCGGACACTTTACCGCCCTCCATTTCTTTACGTTGTCAGCGCATGGAAGAGTCGGGCAGCTTAGATGGCATGGTAGATCACTGATAAAAATCAAAAACATCAGTGGTCCTAGGATAGAACCCTGCGACACTCCTGATGACGAGCTGTGCCAAGATGATCGGACTCGATTGACCTTAGTGCAAAATTGCCTTTCAGTTAGGTAGTCCTTTAACCATGACAGAAGTGGCTTACCTATACCTGCCTGGCTTATTTTGTGTAGGAGAAGGTCATGGTGAACGGTGTCGAATGCCTTCTCAAAGTCTAGAAAGATCACATGGACTGGAACATTCATATCCCAGCATGATGTCCAGTCGTCCCAAGCTGACAATAAGTTAGTAACGCAGGATCTGCCTTTCCTGAAACCGTGTTGGGCTTCATGGAGTATTTTAGACCTATCCAGATATTCCCTGATGTGATCATCAATAATACTTTCCAGTACTTTTGATACCACTGGGAGTAGAGCTACTGGTCCATAACTATTGGGATTTTGCCTATCCCCACCCTCGAAGATCGAAGAGAAGATGCTTCTTTTCCATTCCCTTGGCAGTTTCCCCGATTCCATGGAGTGTTGGAACAAGTCGCATAAGGGCCTACAGAGAGCTTCGGCACACTGTTACAGAACAGATGGCCTGATGTCGTCACAACCTGGGGACTTCCCAGGTGTGAGTCGCTGTAGCTTTCTTATTACTATTTCAGGGTTTATTTGGGGGGTGGCTATTTGGTCTTCCTCCTGTGAAATAGTGGTGCCACCATTTCGGTCCGTAACGGTATCAATCAGGGAGGAAGTACTCGCAGATTCTATGACTAAACTTTCTTCGTCATAATTTAAAATTGGTTCTTTTGGAACATTAGATTACCGGTTGATATGTTCATCAGGGGAGAGAGAAGGTAAAATGAAAGAATCTCATAAGGGAAATTGTTGACTCTGTTGCGATTGGGCGTCACACGCAACAATAGTGTAACTAGAGTTCACAGTACTTTCTGAGTGTTTTTCTGACTGGTCCGTATTTACTATGAGTGCTTTCACAAATTCGTCTGCAGCCTAATAGTCCTAAGAATTCCTATTTTCTTTGGTCACTCCATCAATACTAAGACTTTACATTTCCGCAGAAATGTCAGGGCTGAGATCCTGAAAAGATCCTTAGGTATCATGTGACCTCATATGTGAAACAGGATCCATGACTCGACAAGGGGCGGATTCTGATGAAGCAGAAGTGTTATCAGCGTCGTCTTGCAACGACAGAAGACAATGGCCAGGCAACAGATAGTTTATTGAGAAAATCAAGAGATATTTGTAGATTTTTATGCACATTATTATTAATTTTATTGTCATTAGATAAGCACCATCTCCTGATTTGTTGTTTTCTTGTTGAAGGTTATTCTCTCATCTCTTTGTGGCCGTTTCTTGGAAAGTTATCGCATATATCTGCGAACCGTATTTGCATACGTTAATTCTGCTGTGATTGGTTGGTGAGTTCCTCAAGTTTAAGCTTTATTGTTGTTTTTTCTCATAACCCCGGTTCGGGACGTAAATACTTTTGTCTGCAATTTCGTCTTGCGGGCAGCTCTCACCACAGTCAAACATCCAGCTGGTATAAAACATTCATATTCCGAAATAAAAATGGCTTAATTATGGTTATGAATTCGGAGCTGTGAAATATCATGCGTGGAGAGACTTTTTCCACCAATGCACTAACAAATATTCTGAAAGTGTTATGCCTCGTGATTCCATGTACAGCCAATTAACTTCATCTTCAGGAGTACGCAAATCAAAGTTTGTATATCTCAGATAGTTTTGGAGGAATTCGAACTTTCTAGTTCGCTTGGGTTGGATGAATCTTGTTATGGAGTTCCGTATATAGTTGTTCCTACTTCCTGGTCAGTTTGATAGGTAAGAGGAAGAAAAGATGATACGTTCAGCATATGCTGACTAGACAAAACTTGTGTACATAACTGAGAGGTTTTATTAGAAACAGATAATGACTGTATTAACGAATTTCGCTAAATGTTTTCTAAGCCATGGCAGATTAATTCGCCGTTCATTTTTTCGGGGTTATCTTGCTGGGTGCGAAACTAACCAACAGTCAGTGCAAAAATTAGGAAGAGGAAGTTTTCAGTGACTAGTAGATCGAGGTCCAACAGTATTCCACTGCAGAAAAGATGCATGTAACAAAAACACTGAACAAGACCAGGTTCGTTTTAATTGACATAGGCTCGTGTATTGCATTGGTAACAAGTCGAGTGAATTTAGGCTCACTTGGCGCACTATAGTAGAAACTACTGGAAATACAAGCGAATACCTTATATAGCGTTTTACATCTCCGTTTTCACCTTGAAACCGATCCGGAATTTGTTGATCCTGGCTGCGATTTTCAAGAAGCATGAAAAACTGCTATTTGTTTAAACTCTGTAGATGGTTTCGTAGAACCACGAGCACTTATGTGGTAGTTAATGATGTGAGCATCGAGTAGATTTGTATTGTGCAGTTTACGTGAGCATAAATGACATATGTAAACAGCAGGGGCTAATAACTTCAAGCGAATGTGCCTTGGTTTTTCTGGTTTAGAATGTGTCGACTACGTTCACTCCTTATTTCTGCCAAAAATTTCAACGAGATCATTGTGCATAATTGTTAATATATTCGAAAGGTGATTCTGGCAACTTTGATGAACCTGCTTATAAGATAGAAGCTTATTGCTTATTTGGTCGTTTACTATTTGATGTGATCGATGGCGTCGTTGGTCGCATAATAACGCCTGAATATAGGTAATTTAGAAATAAAAATCAGCTATAGCACAGCATGCATTAACACACAACCACACAATAGGGTGGGTGAGACAGAGTCAAAAGTCTAAAAAGTAATACAGCTAGGTGGAGAGAGAGATTAATTACTAAATCCTGCCTGGTTCATCGAGTATACACCCGACACATGCAACAGAAATGACTCAGCGCAAAT